GCGAGTCACGGGGCGGGGCGGCAGAGCCGCGCGCGGGGTGCGGGTGTGCGAGTGTGCAAGTGTGCAAGGCAGGGGGTGCGATGGAGCAATGCACGGGGTGCGATGGAGCAATGCACGGGGTGCGGGTGTGCAATGCATGGCGGCGCAATGGAGCAAAGGACAGGGGTGCAGGTGTGCAAGGAACAGGGCGCAGGTGTGCAAGGAACAGGGCGCAGGTGTGCAATAGAATCATGGAGTCGTTTAGGTTGGAAAAGACCTTTAAGATCATCGAGTCCAACTGTCAACCCAACACCACCATGCCCACTAAACCATGTTCTGGAGTACCCAGTCTACGTGGTTTTTGAACACCTCCAGGGATGGTGACTCCACCACTTCCCTGGGCAGCCTGTTCCAGTGCTCGACAACCCTTTTGGTGAATAAACTTTTCCTAATACCCAACCTAAGCCTCCCTTGCCGCAACTTGAGGCCATTTCCTCTCGTTGTATCTCCAGCCACCCGACAGAGCAGACCAGCAGCCACCTCACTACAACCCCCTTCAGGTAGTTGTAGAGAGCAATAAGGTCTCCCTTCAGCCTCCTCTTCTCCAGGCTGAACAGCCCCAGCTTCCTCAGCTGCCGCTAAAGGATTTTCAGTCATGGGTTTCTCTAGGTTTGCTTTATTAACAACTCAGAGTTGGGCCACCACCGCAGTGAATGGCAAACTTCCAAAAATTTCTCAGTCTTATATACCTTTTACCACCCACTATCCCAGTCCAAAATCTTTGTAATTTTCCAGCTGATCTCTGTTCACATGTCGTTATCATTCATCAACTTATCTCATAAATTCTTGTGTCCCGGTTCTTCTGAAGTTAGTGGTCATAGGCAGAAGGTCTTGGGTCACCACGATCACTTATCTTCTTAAACATCAAAGATCACCTTTGAATTTCTGAAAATCACTCAGGCTATTCTATTAATTTATCTTGTTCTAAAGTTAATCACTTACTCCCATGTCTTAGGTCTAAGATGTACAATCCTTCTGTCGATTCAGCTTGACTGGGTTTCAAGCCAGCCATGGAGGGGGAGACACATAGGACAAATAAGCAGCTTATATATATTGTTTTATAAGCACCTGCATTCTATTAATCACATCTAGAGCAATCTCTAATCATTAGTTATATGTTTGATATGAATAGTCTTAGAAACAATGAGGCTTAAGGCCTAGTTCCTTTCACAATTCCCGCCCTTTGTTTTTCATTGCACTCCTGCGATCCTATTGACAACTCCACATTTGTCTTTCTATCTTCTGTACTATCCTAGAGCTACAACTTATACAGCATTGAAACAAAACAATCACACATACTACCATGATTATAACAACAAAGACTATTACAATTAGTTTTTTCACCCAAGTAGTCAAATTTAGAAACCAAGACGTTAACCAAGAGAATATGTCAGAAAATCCCCAGGATGTGTTATCTCTTTGAATTTGTTGCATTGTGGCACTAACCTCCCAAATTTGCTGGACATCTGTTATTAATTCTCCTGGTTGGTCAGTATACATACAGCAACCAGTATTTAGGACAGAGCAAACTCCACCTTGTGAAACCAGAATCATGTCTAAAGCCATTTGGTTTTGGACAGTCATTTCTGAAAGTTCAGTTACGTCTTTCTGGAGAGTGAAAAGTCCGTGAGCAGTTGAATTTGCTAATTTTTCAATTTCTCCAGAGACATTTAAGACTGCTTTTTCCAATTCACTTACTCCTAAAGCTGGAATTAACCACCTAACAAATGAATGGAATCCTGTTGGTCTTTCAATCAAGGGATTTAGAGTTCTTCAGGTTTGACTTAAAAAGGTTCTATGCCATGTTGCACTTGAGACAGCATTTGGGTGAATTTCCAAATCTGTAGACATTACTCCTAGGGTACAAATACCTCCCCAATCTGGAGGCAAAGTTTTATAAGCTTTGCTCCCACATAACCAAAAAATAGGTGCTCGCCAACTTAAACGCAGGTCCTCAGGTGCTCGCCAACTTAAACGCAATCCCGAGTTGAGAGAAGTCGTGTTTTGGCATTGAGTCCAATTTCCTACAAATTAATGATTTTTGCATAAATGTTGATTATCAACACTTGGGGGATAACATCTTTGTACACAGTGGACTTGTGAATAGTCTCCTGAGTTTGATAGTCTAATTTCTCAAATTTGTTCTTCATACGATTTGGAAAAAGTAGTATTAAACCAGTATTTTTTCCAATTTACACTTTTAGGAATCGGTACTCCTACTAACTGAAATCCTTGATTCACTGTCTTTGGTAGAGCAACAGAAATCCAACATTCACTTAAATTTAGATTATCAGTAAAAGATTTCATCAATGACACATGCATATTGTTGGCCCAGGCATTTTCTACTTGGTGAACATCCCCAGGTTTCCGTACCAATTGTTTTAACACATTCAGAGCTGGCATGTTATGATATGAATGAGGATAATCCATGTGACAGTGCCAAAAATTCCACTCAAGATTAGGTCCCCATTTGATTATTACAATCCTAAATTTGAAAGTAAAACAATTGCTTGATAGATAGAATCGATGACAGCACCAGTGTCCCTTACCATAAATTCCCCACATTTGATGGTCAAAGCACCATGTCCCAATTCCCCATGTTGGTTCTTGAAGGTGAATATGATATACAGGATAAGTTCCTGGAATGTCATATCCTCACCACTGTTTAGAAAAACCATGCCTGTTGGACCAAGTGTACCACGAAACGTCAAGTCTACTTATAACATTGGCACAGAATTTGAGAGAATTAAGAAGTGGATAAATAGGGTTTCTCTATCTGATTTTCGGATAACTAGCCAAAAAAATGACCTGTCCAGGCTTTGCCTGTAGGTCTGTAATTTGGCCCCAAAGTTGAAAAGAACAATCACTATATGTAATAACAGTTCTATTGGTACAGGCATCTCGATATCGCAATGCAAATTTTGTCCACAAGGTGCCACTCCAGGGTAAAATACAGAAAAGTACAAAAAGGAGTAATACTTTATAAATTGTCCATTACGCTTCAGATTCTTTGCGGGCATGCGAATGACGGATCCAAGTTTCTTTCCCAGATACCTTGATGGCATAAAAAGAAGTTAGTAGGACAGTTTAAGGTCCTTCCCATTTTGGTTCAAATCTGTTTTTTCTTTTGAAATTCTTTATATAAACTTTGTCCCCTGGCTGTATATCATGAACTTGGATTTCAGGGCTTATTCCCTGATACCAATAGGCATGGTTACACATTTGGAAAAAAAAGAGTTTTGTTGATATAAGAGGTATTGTGTTACCCATTCATCTCCATCCAAGAGGCTAGTCTTTGCTGGCACATATGTACCTGGAACAGCAAATATTCTCCCAAAAAGGATCTCAGCCGGAGAAACTCCAGTTGGTTGCCTTGGAGTATTCCTAATATCCCACAAAACTAAATTTAGAGCCTCAGGCCATTTCAAAGCAGTCTGTTTACAAACTTTTACTAATTTCTCCTTTAATGTCCTATTCATTCGTTCTACCTGAAGGCATGATTTGAGGTGATGTGGAGTATGAAATTTATTAAAAACCCCCAAAGAATTATAAATCTGAATCAGGATAGCAGCTGTGAAATGACTCCCTTGATCTGAGTGAATTACTTCAGGAACCCCATACCTTGGAATGATTTCTTTCAAGAAGGCTTTTACTACTGCCTTAGAATCATTTTTACTAGTCGGGAAAGCTTCCACCCATCCTGATAGCTGATCAACGATCACTAACATGTAAGAGTACCCCATTGTTTTTGGCATGTCTGCATAATCAATTTGGAGTTTTTGAAAAGGAAAGGTGCCTGGAGGTCTTTTCCCACCAGGAGGTTTAATTCCCACCAAAGCATATTGTCTGCAAAGCTTACATCCTTCACAAATTCTTTTTGCTGCTGCATAAATTCCCGGGGCTGCCCAGAGTCTCTTGATTTGGAGCGCTAGGCTCTCCAGTCCCCCATGGGTCCTCTCATGGTGCCACCATGTTATTGGTAATAATTACTTTTTTGGAAGGAGAGGTTTGTTGTTCAGAATCCACCGCCCTTCTCGCCAGTGGGCTCCCAGCCAAGTCCATTGTTGTTCTTCTTCTTCAGGGAGGTCTTCATACAGCTTATTCACATTGGGGAGCTCCAACGTTATTTCATATTGTAACGGAGACATAATGGACACAACCTGTCGTGCTGCTACTCTAGTGACTTGGTTGGCTAGAGAATTTCCCTTTGCGATCATGTCTTGTCTCTGAGTGTGTGCCTTTATATAGATCACAGGTATTTCAGAGGGCAATTGGATCACTTCTAAGAGGTCTTTGATCTGTTGTCCGTGGGCAACAGTTTTTCCCTCTGAAGTCAGAAAACCCCTTTCCTTCCATAAAGTCCCCATAGCATGACATACACTAAAGGCATATTTAGAGTCTGCATAAATGTTAGCTCTTACTCCAATTGCATATTTAGCAGCTTCAGTGAGAGCAATTATTTCTGTTCCTTGTGCACCCAAAGGTGCAGGCAAAGATCCAGCTAACAGTACCTGTGTTTCTGTGGTGACTGCGAAACCGGTACATCTTCGACCTTCTTTGTAGTAAGATGAGCCATTCATGAAGAGGTTCAAATCAGGGTTATCTAAAGGTAGATCTCTCAGGTCATCTCGCGGCTTGCTGGTTTCACTTATGAGATAAACACAATTGTAGTTATCTTTTTCTCCATCAGAGGGTAAAGGTATTAAAGTTGCAGGGTTTAAAGTGTTGCACCTTTCCAGTTTCAAATTATCAGCCAATAAAAGAATTATTTCATATCTATGTGCTCGTTGTGGAGACAAAGCTTTCTTCGCATATTGCGTTAACAAAATTTCTACCTCATGGGGTACACGAACAGTTAGTGGATGACCTAAAACAATTGTTTTGGCTTTCCCAACCATTTCAGCAGCAGCTGCTATTGCTCTGATACAAAAAGGAGTTCCGTTAGTCACTGGGTCCAATGTAGAAGAAAAATAAGCAACAGGTGTCTCATGCGGTCCTAAAGTTTGTACTAACACTCTCTTTGCAACCCCTTTTGCTTCATCACAATATAATTTAAAAGGTTTTGAATAGTCAGGAAGCCCTAATGCTGGGGCATGTAAGAGTGCAGCCTTTAAGTATGAAAGGCTTTCTCCTTCTCAGTGCCCCAAGCAATTGGTTCCATTTCCTTATTTCAAGT